TAGAACAGAGTGTTTACATCTAGGATACAATGTTTATATCTAGGATAAAATGTTTATATCTAGGATACAATGTGTATATCTAGGACAAAATGTTTACATCTGGGATACAATGTTTATATCTAGGATACAATGTTTATATCTAGGATACAAGGTGTATATCTAGGATACAATGTGTATATCCAGGATAAAATGTTTACATCTGGGATACAATGTTTATATCTAGGATACAATGTTTATATCTAGGATAAAATGTGTATATCTAGGATAAAATTTTTACATCTAGGATACAATGTTTATATCTAGGATACAAGGTGTATATCTAGGATACAATGTGTATATCTAGGATAAAATGTTTACATCTGCGATACAATGTTTATATCTAGGATACAATGTTTACATCTAAGATACAATGTGTATATCTAGGATACAGTGTGTATATCTAGGATAAAATGTTTACATCTGGGATACAATGTTTATATCTAGGATACAATGTTTATATCTAGGATACAATGTTTATATCTAGGATACAATGTGTATATCTAGGATATAATGTTAATATATAGGATGCAATGTTTCTTTCTAGGAAACAGTGTTTACATCTAGGATATAATGTTTAAATTTTGGGTACGATGTGTAAATCTAGGATACAATGTGTATATCTAGGATATAATGTTTATATTTAGGGTACGATGTTTAGATCTAGGATACAATGTGTATATCTAGGATATAATGTTTATATCTAGGATACAATGTTATGTGTAGGATACAATGTTTATATCTAGGATACAGTGTGTATATCTAGGATACAATGTTTATATCTAGGATACAATATTAATATCTAGAATACAATGTTTATGTCTAGGATACAATGTTTATATCTAGAATACAATGTTTAGATCTAGGATACAATGTGTATATCTAGGATTCAATGTGTATATCTCGGATACAATGTGTATATCTAGGTTTAATTTTTATATCTAGGATACAATGTTTATTTCTAGGATACAATGTTTGAATCTAGGATGCAGTGGTAATATCTAGGACACAGTGCTAATATCTAGGGCACAGTGTTAATATGTAGGATACAATGTTTATATCTAGGATACAATACTTATATCTGGGATACAATGTTTATATCTAGGATACAATGTTTATGTCAAGGATACAATGTTTATATCTAGGATACAATTTTTATATCTAAGATACAATGTGTATATCTAGGCTCTAATGTTTATATCTAGGATGCAATGTTATGTCTAGGATACAATGTTTATATCTAGGTTTCATTTATATATCTAGGATACAATGTTTATATCTAGGATACAATGTTTATATCTAGAATACAATGTTTATGTCTAGGATACAATGTTTATATCTAGAATACAATGTTTAGATCCAGGATACAATGTTTATATCAAGGATTCAATGTGTATATCTAGGATACAATGTGTATATCTAGGTTTAGTTTTTATATCTAGGAAACAATGTTTACATCTAGAATACAATGTTTATATCTAGGGTACTATGTTTATATCTAGGATACAATGTTTATATCTAGGTTTAATTTTTATATCTAGGATACAATGTTAATATCTAGGATACAATGTTTATATCTAGGATACAATGTTTATGTCTAGGATACAATGTGTATATCTACGATACAATGTGTATATCTAGGATACAATGTTTATATCTAGGATACAATGTTTATATCTAGGATACAATATTTATGTCTAGGATACAATGTGTATATTCACGATACAATGTTTATATCTAGGATACAATATTAATATATAGGATACAATGTGTATATCTAGGAAACAATGTAGATATCTAGGATACAATGTGTGTATTTAGGAAACAATGTAGATATCTAGGATACAATGTGTATATCTAGAATACAATGTTTATATCTAGGATACAATGTTTATATCTAGGATACAATGTTTATATTTTGGATACCCTGTGTATATCTAGGATACAATGTGTATATCTAGGAAACAATGTAGATATCTAGGATACAATGTTTATATCTAGGATACAATGTGTATATCTAGGAAACAATGTAGATATCTAGGATACAATGTTTATATCTAGGATACAATATTAATAAATAGGATACAATGTGTATATCTAAGAAACAATGTAGATATCTAGGTTACAATGTGTGTATTTAGGGTACCCTGTGTATATCTACGATACAATGTGTATATCTAGGAAACAATGTAGATATCTAGGATACAATGTTTAGATCTAGGATACAATGTATATATCTAGGAACCAATGTTTATATCTAGGATAAAATGTGTATATATAGGATACAATGTGTGTATTTAGGGTACACTGTTTATATCTAGGATACAATGTTTATATCTAGGTTACACTGTGTTTATATAGGATACACTGTTTATATATAGGATACATTGTTTATATCTAGGATATAATGTTTATGTCTAGGATACAATATTAAGATCTAGGATACAATGTTTATATCTAGGATACAATGTTTATATCTAGTATACAATGTTTATATCTAGGATACAATGTTTATATCTAGGATAGAATGTTTATATCTAGGATACTATGTGTATGTATAGGATACAATGTTTATATCTAGGATACTATGTGTATATCTAGGATACAATGTGTATATCTAGGATAAAATGTTTACATCTGGGATACAATGTTTATATCTAGGATACAATGTTTATGTCAAGGATACAATGTTTATATCTAGGATACAATGTTTACATCTAGGATAGAATGTTTATATCTAGGATACTATGTGTATGTATAGGATACAATGTTTATATCTAGGATACTATGTTTATATCTAGGATACTATGTTTATATCTAGGATACTATGTTTATATCTAGGATACTATGTTTATATCTAGGATACTATGTTTATATCTAGGATACAATGTTTATATCTAGGATACAATGTTTAGAATACATCTAGGATATAATGTTTATATCTAGGATACAATGTTATGTCTAGGATACAATGTTTATATCTAGGATACAGTGTGTATATCTAGGATACAATGTTTATATCTAGGATACTATGTTTATATCTAGGATACAATGTTTATATCTAGGATACAATGTTTAGAATACATCTAGGATATAATGTTTATATCTAGGATACAATGTTATGTCTAGGATACAATGTTTATATCTAGGATACAGTGTGTATATCTAGGATACAATGTTTATATCTAGGATACAATGTGTATGTCTAGGATATAATGTTAATATGTAGGATGCAATGTTTATTTCTAGGAAACAGTATTTACATCTAGGATATAATGTTTATATTTAGGGTACGATGTTTAGATCTAGGATACAATGTGTATATCTAGGATACAATGTTAATATCTAGGATACAATGTTTATATCTAGGTTCAATTTTTATATCTAGGATACAATGTGTATATCTAGGATATAATGTTTAAATCTAGGCACAGTGTTAATATCTAGGATACAGTGTTAATATGAAGGATACAATGTTTATATCTAGGATACAATGTTTATGTCAAGGATACAATGTTCATATCTAGGATTATTTTTTATATCTAAGATACAATGTGTATATCTAGGATATAATGTTTATATCTAGGATACAATGTTATGTCTAGGATACAATGTTTATATCTAGGATACAGTGTGTATATCTAGGATACAATGTTTATATCTAGGATACAATATTAATATCTAGAATACAATGTTTATGTCTAGGATACAATGTTTATATCTAGAATACAATGTTTAGATCTAGGATACAATGTGTATATCTAGGATTCAATGTGTATATCTCGGATACAATGTGTATATCTAGGTTTAATTTTTATATCTAGGATACAATGTTTATTTCTAGGATACAATGTTTGAATCTAGGATGCAGTGGTAATATCTAGGACACAGTGCTAATATCTAGGGCACAGTGTTAATATGTAGGATACAATGTTTATATCTAGGATACAATGTTTATATCTAGGATACAATGTTTATATCTAGGATACAATGTTTATATCTAGGATACAATGTTTATATCTAGAATACAATGTTTATATCTAGGATACAATGTTTATATCTAGGATACTATGTTTATATCTAGGATACTATGTTTATATCTAGGATACAATGTTTATATCTAGGATACTATGTTTATATCTAGGATACAATATTAATATCTAGGATACAATATTAATATCTAGGATACTATGTTTATATCTAGGATACAATGTTAATATCTAGGATACAATATTAATATATAGGATACACTGTTTATATATAGGATACAATGTTTATATCTAGGATACAATGTGTATGTATTGGATACAATGTGTATGTATAGGATACAATGTTTATATCTAGGATACAATGTTTATATCTAGGATACTATGTGTATGTATAGGATACACTGTTGTCAGGTATTCTAGTACTTTTATCCAGCCACTCGCTGTCGGTTATTCTATTATTCAGCTCCTGGTTGTCCGATTTGACTTTTATTCAGCCACTAGCTGTCGGTGTTGTACTATCACGCTCCTAGTCCGGTTGTTCTACTATCCAGCCACTAGCTGTCGGTGTTGTACTATCACGCTCCTAGTCCGGTTGTTCTACTATCCAGCCACTAGCTGTCGGTGTTGTACTATCACGCTCCTAGTTGTCCGGTTGTTCTACTATCCAGCCACTAGCTGTCGGTTATTCTACTATCCAGACTCCTGTTGTCTGGTTGTACATCTATTTAGCCACTAGTTGTCCGGTTGTCTCTCTTATTAGTCAGTACTTCAAGTAATCACTTTTACTAAAGGTCAGGTCGGAGTATCATGCCTTCATTGTAAGGATATTTATATATTGTGGTTAACAGACTTTTAGCTAGCCAGACTTTGGGGAAGCTCTACAATGATACTAGTTATATCGATTTTACTGTCGCCATCATCCATTACGTATTTTTGAAATGAAATAACACACAGAAGCATAAATTTTATGGAAAATATTTTATTCTCTTGGGAAATTTATATGAATCTTATTTGACATAATGTTATATATTTGTACGCTGAGTGTTCATAACATATCGATATTTATATACTGTATTATATATATTAGCATTGATGCCATTCGTATCCCTGTAGACACGGTCTGGCTGGGTTACGGCAAACACAAACAGGATTGAGCAAATGAACTTCGATCTGCAAATTGAATGTTAAAACTTTATTATTTTAAATCCAGAAAAAAATACACATCTGTTATATGTGCCATAGTGTCTATGTCAGGTGATTGTGCATTACAATGCCCCTCGAGCTGTTAAACAATTAACTTATTGATATTTGACATTGCACACCTGTGTTTTGTGTCAGTCGTATGGAAGCAAATACAAGTCGTGATATAAGCTTCATTTCTGTCCCAATGGACCTGTGGATGAGGCAGACGTTCGCTCTCCTGCTGAAAAGGGATATCAACAACACTAATGCTTATTGTCCATGTCAATGGTGTGACTGCTTGCACAGATAGTGGGTGATGACGATATCTATCATAGTTATGGCGATTATGTTGGTTGTATATTGGGATGGTGGGCGGTTAAAGGTGATGATGAAAGTAATACTGGTGGTTGGGATTTGGTGGAATGAAATAGCAGGGCGTGGCAGTGGAGTAGTCAAAGGCGCTGTTAGGGTTCATGAAAGTAGGGGCCTGGGGTACCCTTTTTGACACTGATTTTGAGTTCAAGTTCTTTATTAACTTTAAGTCTTACGACTTATCAGTGTATATGTGGTGATGATAACAGTTTTTATGGAAGTAAGTGCTGGTTGAGGCCATGGTGGTAAGTGTCGTGGTGTTTACGGTGGTGTTGGTCTAAAAACAAAACAACGTTTAAAATGTTGATTGATTGAGATGATGTTTTTTGTTGGTGGTGGTGGTACTGGCTATGACGATGGTGGTGATGCTGATGATGTTTTCGGTGGCGATAGGGACGATTGTTGGTAGTGGTAGTGGTGGAGGTGTTGGTGGCGTGTGCTGAAATTTGGTGGTAATAGTGGTGGTGGTTTGGGTGGTGATGCCGGTTTTTGTTGGTGTTGGTGCTAGCCATTGCGTTGGTAGTGGTGGTAGTGGTTGAGATGGTGGTGGGGACGGTATTGGTAGTGGAGGTGACGTGCTTTGTTGGTGTTGGTGCTGTCTGTTGTGGCGGTGGGGTTGATGGTGACGGTTTTTGTTGGTGAGATGATGAACATAAAAGGATACCATTAACAGTGTATACATGAAGGCAAGAATGCGATCATGTTATTACTGCATCAGGTATATCAGGTACGGTTCATTGTATCACTGTGTTGAGATCCATGTTCAGGTGGCGAGTTGTATAGGGGTAACACACAGTATGGACACGCATTTTCACCACTTCTGCTCAGAACCACTTCGATGTTACAGTTGTGTTCACAAAAAGAACAAACACATTTGAGGTTGGTCTATAACGGTGGAAGCTAGGTATGAAAACAATTATGCACATGGACGGTACATTTAAGGTAGGACTCATAACTTGATGTAGGTTAGCTTTAAAATGTGTGCACTTGTTGTTCGACGTGGATGTCCTCTAAAGCATGTATTTCACACAGTCTCGCTGAGGATGAAAGTTGAAAACCAGTACAACTTCACTATCTCGATGTATGGTTTAGATATGAATTGTCTGTATTTGCGAAACTGCTTCACCTTCGACATTGTTTTAACAAGCTTCACTGTCTTTCCTTCAGTTGTCCATGTCTCTCTCGAAGGCAGCAAACTCGAGCATGTAGCGAATATACTGGCCTAGAGCTGCAACAGCCACAGTGGTCCGGTGGCACAGACACCCGTGATCCAGGAGGCGCTCCTCTCGCTTGGTCCGGATACGAGGCTCTGTCCCGCGGTACTCTACAATGGACAAATGTACTTATTTACACACGTTTGTATCGAATTCAGCAATATCTTGTAGAGAGAATATTGTCATAATAAATATATACATACACGACAAATTGCATGCCAGCCACTAATTTCAATGCTGGCTTATCCAATGTGTCATTATTTCATTGCTTTGTTGGGAACAGTCAACACTAACGTCAGAGATACATTAAATATGGACGGTCTAGAGGCAACCGTCTCTAGGTATCCACGGCTCCGAGAAGTAGTTACAGTTCCCAAAACAACTACAATATAATGGCCTCCTCTCGTTCCACTGCCTAATAAAAACTGCTGATAAAAAAAAATCAAATCTGTGAAACCAAACACTACTTTATGTTTTAACAAACGCCCTCTGTCGATCGTAGTCTCCTAAACTCCCCCTGGTGTGCCGACCTGGAAATCTGACGAGAAGATAAGCACATATTAAACCGTCAACTTTGAAAAATCTACCAAATAACGTCAAATACCTGGTACATGTAAAACAAGACCTTGAACGTAAAAGTTACAATTGCAAAACCAGGATTTAATTTCCTATGAAATTGATAAAAATATGAGTTATGGATTTCAATTAATAATTTACAAGTTCAGTTCAGGTATGGAAGTGTCATGTATGAAAGTGGCTAGCCACAACCATTACGTTTTATGTCCAAAAAGTCAGCGATCTCTACGGGTGATAGGCTCAGAATGACTTTCCGAAGATGACGGTACTTATGGAAGTGAGAACCATCATGATATTTTTCCACGTGTATGCATTTATTTATTTCAATTGCCCTTATTTTCAACTTTTGTATTTCCAATTATAATTAAACGATTGTACATGATAGGTTTTGTATTTTTCCGAATTTTGTATTTCTATTTTTGTAAAATACAATTTTCAAATATCAGTTTCTGTTTATCTGAATTTTGCATTTTATTGTTTTGTAATCTTTAATCCTATTTTTCTATTCTTGTATATTTCAATCGATATGAAATACAATTTAGGAGTTTTTATCCATATTTTTTCCTCTATTTAACTCTCAATCGTATGGTTATTACAATGTTAATACATAACAGCCATCTAAATTTTATACAAAGCCATTGGTCATTAAACCCATATATTAACGGAGATATTTAAACAAAAGAGAAGAAAGAAGTTGGAATAAGATTCGGCGTCACATATATACATGTGAGTGTGGATTTAATTTCAATAAAAGAAATGTATAGCTAGTTCACTGCCGGGTACATTGAATGAAATGGCAGACAGAGGGTTGGGGGTACACTATAGGGAATCAATGTAATAGTGGAAATGAATCCAGCTGGTTGTAAGCCTACCATACACGCTTTTCCAATCTCACAGTGAAATAAAACAACATACATATTATATTCATTTAGACATAGTACGTCTAATAAATACTTTTGATAACTCTAAATCATTTTTCATAAATCAATTTTGCCTAAAAGACAAATGCACGACGGTAGTTACATTGGTGATATATTTCAGGACTGTGTTTCAGGTGGTTGGATCGAATGTGCTGTGATAACCATCATCAAGCTGCTAAACAAACGTGATGTATTCACTGCGAAACTGTTATTGCTAAAACATCCGCTAGACCGGGGCCTTCTGGGAAGCGAGCGAGGATTCCATGCCGGACGTCATGAAGACAGCCGAGGTCGGCATGCGGCGGTGTGATTATCCGAGGTGTGGCGCTCGGACTCTTGGGCGGGTCAGTTCGTGGACAGGGTGAGACAGGTCGGTAACGGCTATATTAAACAGTCATTGATTTTGATATTAAATGAGTTATCTGTTTCATATCATCCGCGCCTTACTTGTGTTTACTGCGATAAAGAACATTAGTTATCGAGTTAAAGCGTCTCGCGAGACACGCAGGGCTCGGATGATGATGAAGCGAGCCTAGCTGCGACAGATAAACGTACAGCTCCTCGGGGCTGTAGGGGACGTCAAATTCATATCGATTAACATTAAATACTGACGTAAAACCAGCCATTCGGCTTAGTTGGAGTCATAAGTAGCACTTTATGAGGATGTAAAGGTCTAAACACGCATACTTTTTATTCGAATGGCTCGTTGAATATGAATTTCCGAAGAGTCACATGTTTTCTTCGCTGATATAAAATTTTAGTGTTTTTCTCAATGTTTTTCTTCCGACTCGATATCAATAACCGAATCAATTTAAACCTTTAGTACGTCACACTTAGTTGGATCAAAAGGGCTGTGATGTTAACTTGGTAGTGAACACCTATTGGGTTCATTCAGGAACACATATCTTTATTGACTGATTAGGTGTTGAGTTGATTAGTCGGTACGTCCCCACTTTACTTCAGATTCAGCTTCTCTATCAATAACGGCGACAGACCTGACGGTGACAACACCATGTGGGTCGCCTCGGGACTTCCGTCATATTGTCGGCTGTCTACCGTCCGCCGAGGAGGCAACAGTCTCTCAAACAAGTGTTTGATCGTTCTGTCTTCCAAACTGGTCCCAAGGAAGTCATCAGTCATCTTCCGTTTAGCAAAAACCTTGAGTGTAAACAGTCCTCAGCACGAACTCTGGTCATGTGGGGCGCGGTGGGCTCACGTCGGTGTACAAGATCTGTGTATTACTCTGTTACATTATGACTTATGTTATGACGAACAATTAAAGCTCCAAAAAGTTGAAATGTGATTAATCTGTACGTGTCATTAAAACATGTCTCTCCGAAACCAACACTTCAAACAAGACATCCGAGAAAACATTTAAGCCTTCATTTTAACAAATCAATTATGTTTTTATCCTTTAAGCAATAATCTTTCACTAGTGTCATTCTTCTATATTCTTGAAATAATTAAACATAGTTTGACGCTTTGTTACAACCTAAAAATTTAGTTGTGTCTACTTACCGACATCCGTCTCCCTTACTGGATTCCCTTTGTAACATCCGGTTATTTGGTCCTGCCAACTCAGGATTTTTTCTAGCCAATCAGAGGTAAAGAATTGTCGGTATCCCAGCATTCCACACAAGGCCGCTAAATACAAAACAGGGGAATACATAAAACAAAGAGATACAGCTTACAACCTGGTTCTAAGCGGCTAGGAATACTCATACAAACGTCTTTGTTGTATTTAATATATTTGCGTATATTTCATTAAACTCGATGTTACATGAATCGATTTAATATTTAATAGGATACAACAAACTACTGGGAAAAGACACGTTATACAAGATTGTAAAGAAAACCACGTGTTACAAGATGGTAAAGAAAAACACGATACCAGATTTTACAGAAAATCACATGATACAAGAATGACAGAAAATCCCGTGATACCAAATTGTACAAATAAAACACGTGATATCAAAATGTACAGAAAGTAACCCGATACCAAATTGCACAGAAAACCACGTGAAACCAGAATGTACAGAAAACCTCGTGATACCAGATTGTACAGAAAACCACGTGATACCAGAATGTAGATCATACATTTAGAAGCACGATATGTTTCCGGTGAAGCACACAGTTATTTCGGAAAAACATATATCATTTTGATAAGTTGTCAAAACATACGCTGAGTAGCATAACAGTATAACGCATGTTTGTGGTGATATCAAAGCGGTTTTATTATTATTATTTCTGTATGGAATACTGTCAAAAAACGCTACGTCCCCTGGCAGAATTAGTCTGCTGCAAAGATAGAGCTAACCAATGTTGTACTGCAGCACGTAGACACCTTACAGGTTTTATTGGAACTGTCTAATGTTACCGTTACAGCCTGCAGTCGTCACCCACCTTGCTCCATAAACAGATCCTGTTTGTGCTCGGGGAAGCCCTCCTTAGCAATGATAGTGGCCTCGTTCAGCATATTGGCACAAAAATCGTCATGCATTTTCTCTATGGACTCTTGACCAGCGGCCAAACGTCTCATTTCCATCTCAGCCCCACAACCAAACTAGACAATACATACGTCAATTTATATTTAAAATACACCAACTGTATGCATTAACTACGTTAGGCTTGATTCGTCAGTATCTAACAGCTCAGTAATCGTGTGATTGTCACAGATACCACGGTATCCTTGTGATCTTCCGATACATATAATAAAATGTCTCGTCAGTCCCCTAAGGAGATATCTAGTCATAACATACAAGTTCACCAAAATTATTTTTGGTACTATCTTTCAACTGACATACAAGATTCTAAGTACGTTAAAGACATTTATTATTCTTGTAAGCAGAAAAAAAAAATTGAATTCATAAATATTGCATACTTTAAATAAATCGTGTACTATCTTTCAAAAATTATATTTCCCTTTACTGCATGCTCGATCAAAGATTAGTATGACCTGAGGATGATTCGGTTAGTAGCTAGGTAAAGTAAAAGGTTCGTAAATCTATCTACCTGTCTTCCAATCTGCAGGTAGAATATTTCGTGTGACAGAGAGTAACCGTTGTATAAGGGTGACGTCATGGATTCCCAGCACCTGCTGGAGATGACGCACGTGTTCTTGGTACGTTTCCTTAAAGTAAAATAAACGACATCATCAATGAGAATTAGTGTAAACTATACCGTGACATTTAAGTTGTAAGCCGGTCAGTTTTATTTGTAGAAACCCCGTCTTCATCCTTGCATAGCGTACCGAAAGGTTAATGGTATAGCTGTTTAGGCTTTTACAGTAAATTGGTAATAAATTGATTGCTCAGACGGAGTAAATAGTGAAACGGTGTGATGTTTATACGGCTGTCATATAAGTATAGATCAGAACAGACTAACGACTGGTCAGGTTACACAACGCGACATGACACGTCTACAGATCAAACCGTCTAACCTCCACCAGGAGAGTGACGGCATGAAAGTTCATGAAGTTACTAGATTCTATTCTATTAAGGACATTCACTACTGTTCAACTGTATCAAGTTAACAGGAGCAATAGACAACGGTATATAATACTAGAAATGTATCCCTGTAACATTACGTAATACTGTTTGAAGGACAATTTGCAAGATTTTAACGAGTACGTCGTTGGTTGGTGACTACGTACCGGAAATCACCTGTCCCTTTAAAACCTCTTTGAACATGAACATAGTTTGCTTGAAACTTTGATACCTTCATTCTCTGTTATCTGCATTAACCTTTAAACTAACATACTCTGTACTATTTACACACTTTGTACATGTAATCTACCATGATCAGGATCTCATCGTCTCGTACACAATTTGTAATCAACCATGATGAGGATCTCTTTGTCTATTTACCCAATCTGTATTCAAACATGATCTGGACCTGTTTGTCTATTTACCCACTCTGTAATCAACCATGATCAGGATCGCTTTGTCTATCTACCCACTCTGTTATCAACCATGATCAGAATCTCTTAGTCTATCTACCCACTCTGTAACCAACCATGATCAGGATCTCTTTGTCTATATACCCAGTCCGTAATCGACCATGATCAGGATCTCTTTGTCTATATACCCAGTCTGTTATCAACCATAATCAGGATCTCTTTGTCTATATACCCAGTCTGTTATCAACCATAATCAGGATCTCTTTGTCTATATACCCAGTCTGTTATCAACCATGATCAGGATCTCTCTGTCTATATACCCAGTCTGTAATCAACCAGGATCAGGATCTCTTTGTCTATCTACCCACTCTGTTATCAACCATGATCAGGATCTCTTTGTCTATATACCCAGTCCGTAATCAACCATGATCAGGATCTCTTTGTCTATTTACCCAATCTGTATTCAAACATGATCTGGACCTGTTTGTCTATTTACCCGCTCTGTAATCAACCATGATCAGGTTCTTTTTGTCTATTTACCCACTCTGTTATCAACCATGACCAGAATCTCTTTGTCTATCTACCCACTCTGTTATCAACCATGATCTGGATCTCTTTGTCTATCTACCCACTCTGTTATCAACCATGATCTGGATCTCTTTGTCTATATACCCAGTCTGTTATCAACCATAATCAGGATCTCTTTGTCTATATACCCAGTCCGTAATCGACCATGATCAGGATCTCTTTGTCTATATACCCAGTCCGTAATCAACCATGATCAGGATCTCTTTGTCTATCTACCCACGCTGTTATCAACCATGATCTGGATCTCTTTGTCTATATACCCAGTCTGTTATCAACCATAATCAGGATCTCTTTGTCTATATACCCAGTCCGTAATCGACCATGATCAGGATCTCTTTGTCTATATACCCACTCGGTAATCAACCATGATCAGGATCTCTTTGTCTATCTACCCACGCTGTTATCAACCATGATCTGGATCTCTTTGTCTATATACCCAGTCTGTTATCAACCATAATCAGGATCTCTTTGTCTATATACCCAGTCCGTAATCGACCATGATCAGGATCTCTTTGTCTATATACCCAGTCTGTTATCAACCATAATCAGGATCTCTTTGTCTATATACCCAGTCCGTAATCGACCATGATCAGGATCTCTTTGTCTATATACCCACTCTGTAACCAACCATGATCAGGATCTCTTTGTCTATCTACCCTCTCTGTAATCAACCATGATCAGGATCTCTGTCTCGTACACAATTTGTAATCAACCATGATGAGGATCTCTTTGTCTATTTACCCAATCTGTATTCAACCATGATCTGGACCTGTTTGTATATTTACCCACTCTGTAATCAACCATGATCAGCATCTCTTTGTCTATCTACCCACTCTGGTATCAACCATGATCTGGATCTCGTTGTCTATCTACCCACTCTGTAACCAACCATGATCAGGATCTCTTTGTCTATATACCCACTCTGTAAACAACCATGATCAGGATCTCTTTGTCTATTTTCCCACTCTGTAAGCAACCATGATCAGGATCTCTTTGTCTATATACCCAGTCTGTTATCAACCATAATCAGGATCTCTTTGTCTATATACCCAGTCTGTAGTCAACCATGATCAGGATCTCTTTGTCTATCTACCCCCTCTGTAACCAACCATGATCAGGATCTCTTTGTCTACCTCCCCACTCTGTAATCAACCATGATCAGGATCGCTTTGTCTATATACCCAGTCTATAATCAACCATGATCAGGATCTCTTTGTCTAGCTACCCACTCTGTTATCAACCATGATCTGGATCTCTTTGTCTATATACCCAGTCTGTTATCAACCATAATCAGGATCTCTTTGTCTATATACCCAGTCTGTAGTCAACCATGATCAGGATCTCTTTGTCTATTTACTCACTTTGTAATCAACCATGATCAGGATCTCTTTGTCTATATACCCAGTCTGTTATCAACCATAATCAGGATCTCTTTGTCTATATACCCAGTCCGTAATCGACCATGATCAGGATCTCTTTGTCTATATACCCAGTCTGTTATCAACCATAATCAGGATCTCTTTGTCTATATACCCAGTCTGTTATCAACCATAATCAGGATCTCTTTGTCTATATACCCAGTCTGTAGTCAACCATGATCAGGATCTCTTTGTCTATTTACCCAATCTGTATTCAAACATGATCTGGACCTGTTTGTCTATTTACCCGCTCTGTAATCAACCATGATCAGGATCGCTTTGTCTATCTACCCACTCTGTAATCAACCAGGATCAGGATCTCTTTGTCTATCTACCCACTCTGTAATCAACCATGTTCAGGATCTCTTTGTCTATTTACCCACTCTGTCATCAACCGTGTTCTAGAAATGTTTTTTCCCACCCTTCACAAGCGTGTCTCCCGTTTTAGCCGGGTAAGATCATCTTTTCTCCCACACCTGACAGATTTATCTCCCGTTTTGCCGGTGCTAGATTTATCTGTCTCCGCCCTAGGGTTGAGACGGGGGGATTCCCCTATTCATAACAATGGCATGACGTCACTTCAACAATACAATGACGTCACGTCAACAATCCATCAACAAATTGCCTGTATGTGTTTTGGGTCCATGTTTACCTTTATTTCGCATTAGAATACTGTTAGATATGGGAGAAAAATAATCAATCGCTACTGGTTGTGTAAAAGGCTCGTTCTGGACAAAATCTTAGTCCGAGGGTTGAGATTTCTCTATCTTACACAACCAGTAGCGATAGATTCTATTAGTCATCCCCTAGGGGGAGATAGCCTCGTGCCGATTAGCACGTGTTCAATTGTGACGTCATTAAAATGCGTCATCGGTAATTGTGACGTCATCAAAAGTGAATGACGGTTTGCATACCCCAATTGTGGGTTTTTTTTTCCAAACATGGCAGACTACTGTCGGTTGAGATGTGACTGAAATGATAGGATGGGAGAAAAATAATCATCCCCTACCTTGAGGGTGTCACAGAGAAATCTCCAACCCTCGGGGTGATTCTTTTGGTTGTCTAACCCTCGGCAGAGCCTCGGGTTAGACAACCAAAAAACATCACCCCTCGGGTTGGAGATTTCTCTGTCACACCCTCAGGGCAGGGGAAGATTCTATTAGTCTATCTACCCACTCTGTTATCAACCATGATCTGGATCTCTTTATCTCTTCGCACACTCTGTAATCAACCATGATCTCTTTTATGTTTTTCACACTCTGTAATCAACCATGACCCTTAAACCAGAAAATTGGTTTAGTTTGGTTTAGTATTGCTTAGAGTACTATCTATCGCTATGGTCATTTTAGGACGGCCTCCCATGTGTGTAAGATGCATGCGTCCAGTGTATACGTGTGTGTTTTGGGAGGCTGCGATATGTTCGTGTTTGTCTCCTTGTGATAGCGCGGAAGTGATGTCGACTTTATAGTGCTACTGCACTGAAACATACTGCCGAAGACATCCAGCAGGACACCCCACCCGGTCACATTATACTAACAACGGGCGAACCATTCGTCCCACTCCTAAATTGCTGAGCGTTAAGCAGGAGTAGAAACTACCATTTTTACAGACTATGGTATGTCTCGGACAGGGGACAGAACCCAAAGCCTTCCTCACAGGGACGAACGCTCAACTAAAGGCCAAAAGTGAGGCATTGCCAAGGGAGACATTAGGAAATGAAAGTTGTTTAGAAAGAAGAGAAAAGAAAAAATGCCAAATTCAGTCGCCTGGAACACAGAAAATTGGGGTTTGAATATGTTTTCCACATGTACTTCTACATTTTTCTTTAATTCTGATCAATAACACAAATGTATTATTGACATTTAAATGTATGTTATCAGAAGATTGCGTCACAAAGTGAGTAAGTATATAATGCATATCTACCCGTTTAGATGGCATTCATTGTGTTTATACCAAGAACGAAATTTTGTTATTTCCCGTTTGCAATTAGTCACAAAAACATTTAAGCTACAAAAGTATGTTCATTCGCAGTTCGTATGTCAGAATCAGGGGAGTGCTTATTTTAGTATCGACACAAAGCCGGGATAATTAAACAGACATCCGGAGCCTATAAAGGATTACCGAGAACTTGGTAAAACATATCATAAATCTAGCGACATAATGCTTCGAGTGGATAGCGGTATCACGTCATTACGGTGACACGCCGTTCCACGTGTCGTTTTAGCG